TCTAATGTGCCACCTCCTCCGACTGCATCACTAACAGGGATGCAGCCTTGCCATCCCCTACCTGCTGGCTGCCCACGTAGGGGACAATGGCACACAGGAGCACGTATCTGGCCTTGATTTGCCACGGCATTGAGACCGCCCTCTGCAGCATCTGTTGGTAGAGGGGTCTCTCCTGGTCCTCAAAGTGCTGGCATTCCAGGTGGTAGATCTCTGCCAGGAGTCTGAAGGAGCTCTGGATGAACTCAGATACACCTTCCACCTGGGGAAGGATGGAAACCAAGGTTTCCCTTCTGAATTCCTGCTTTAGAAGAGACCCTGTCGCCACACGTTTCTAGCGGGCAACCATGAATTAGGGGGCTGGGGATGGCAGGAGATGAGCCATCTCACTGCAGCAGTGCTGGGGGTGCCCTCTCCAGCCTTACCGGGGCCTCGGCATTGTCCCATAACAGCTGGGTGAGCTCCTGCAGCAGCTTGGCATCCTTGGCCAGGAGGCGGCTGCCCTGCAGGTGCCAGAGCTCAGGAAGGTTCTCCTGGACACGCCGCAGCCACAGCACTAGCACTGGAAGTGGACAGGCAACAATGCTGAGCCCAACCAGGCTGTGGGGCTCAGGGAGCCATCAGCCCACATAGATACAAAGCAGCCCAGGAGGAATGGCATTCCATGGGCAGGAACAGCAATGACAGTTCCACCAGCAGGTTTGTCTCCTACCTTGGAAGCAGTGGTAGTGGCAATCCTTCTGCTCCTTGCTCAGGGCACGCACAGTGGGAAAGAGCACATCCAGCAGTAGGCAGGCCTGCAGAAGCACAGCGGTCAGTGAGCAGGCAGATGGGGACTTCCAAGGGAAAACAAACCTCAATTCAGAACAGGAGAAACTTTGGCATCCATGTGAGCTTTCTGTGCCCGCCTAGCAGCCCTCGGCTCTGGGACAGCAGCTCAGTTTTTGCTGTGTGATGCACAGCAGGTTGCTGTGTCAGGAGTGACTTTACCCCAGACTCCCACTGCTGGGTGAGGGGCTCTGACCCTGGAGTAAGCCCTCATACCTGGCAGGTGCTGCCCTCCAGCCGGCAGCAGAGGATGTCTGCACGGCAGCATGTCAGCAGCCCCCTGCTCAGCGCCAGCCTCTCCAGCCCGTCTGACTCTGGGATGCTGTGAGCCTCCACCACCAGCTCCCCAACTCTCAGCTCCCCTGCACCTGCTGGGAAATGGCTGCGTTAAATGGGACAGAGACCCAAAGCCCACTATCCATCCACCTGGGTGGCCCCCGAGAGTGGACACAGCAGCAGAACTCTGACTGACGGTGAGTGTCCTGTCCGCTTTCAGTCCCTTTGCTGAGGCTCTTCCCAGTGCTGGTGCAGCACACACCTCTGTCTATGAGCTGGAAGAGGGTGAGTGCAGCACTGGCCCCATTCTCAGGCTGTGGGGCTGTGTTCAGCAGCATGCTGAGTGCCGTGCCTGCCAGCAGCCGCACATCCTTGCTCAGGGCCTGGGCATAGAAAACAAATGCATGTCTCTAGCCTCTATGCATTATGTGGGCAACTACAGAGCATCCCTATGATGCTTTAATGTTCCACTGGGGACATCCGTTGCCCCTGCAGCACCAGGACCACACACCTTCCCTGCCACTGCCTCCAGCAGCAGCCCCAGGATGCGCTGCAGGGCTTCATTCTTTGCTGCTGCACTCCACACCAGTGGGGCCACATCCTTTGGCATCATCTGGAAGAGCTGGAGGCAGGCCTGGAGGAATGGAGGGGACAGTGAGGATGGCCTCCAGCACTGCTCACCTCCGAAAAATGTGCATGCTTTCCTGAGGCAGGTTCCCACCTTGACAGCCAGGCAGCTCCAGGTGCCACTTGGTGCCGCTTGGCCCTGCAACACGTAGCTCAGAGTGTGGGCCACGTGCTGCAGGAGTGGGACCATGTTCTGCTGCCAGTGGTGCCGGCCCAGGCTGCTCTCCTCTATGAACATGCATACTGCAGGAGGGGGACAGTGTCATCCCTGTCCCTCCCAGGGATGGGGAAGGGGTCAAAGAGTAGCAACTGACCTGCCTGAAGGTCCTCAGGGGACAGCACCTGGGGGGCAGAGGGACAGGCACCCTTCATACCCCACACAGTGTGTGGGGCAGAATCGCCTCCAAAGCTCCTGTCACCAGCTCCCTTCCACTGTGCCCCCAAAGACAGGGGACTGGGGGCATGGTGGCATCCACATGTCAGCTGTTCTCACCTCTCCGTGCAGTGCCAGCCCGGCCAGCAGCGTGCTCACCTCCTGCGCCAGCACAGCCTCGTGGCCCACGGCCAGCTGGGTCACAATCTGCTGAGAGACCCCCACTCAGCTCCAGCAGGACCCTAAGGATCACTCATAGGGGAGCGTTACGGACCTGTTCCAGCTTCTGGAAGGCACTGGAGCTGCCCGCTGCCTCCAGCTGAAAGGCCAGGACGCAGCGCAGCAGCGGTCGCACCTCCGTCTCGCCCAGCACCCGCAGCTCCTCACCCAACTTCCGTGCCAGCTGCAGGGCCTCCTCCAGGTGCTTGTCCCGGCAGCGCTTGGCTGTGCTCCTGCGATGGGATGGAGATGAGGTGGGGTGCACCGAGCTGGTTGGGCATGGGAGTACCTCGGTGGAATGGAGCTTAGCATGGGTGCATCCCAACGTGTTAGAGCTGGAGTGCCCAAGCTCAGAAAGGGTTGGGGTGGGGATACCCGGGCTGCAGGGGGGTTTTGCTGGGGGTGCCCCAGCTCAATGTGGTTGGGGATTTGGGTTGGGCGAGGGGTGCCCCACCTCCATCGGGGATGCACTGGGGATGACCCAGTTTGCTGTGGTGGGGATACCCAGACTCAACTTGAACTTAGCAAGGGGTGCCGCAGCTCCACGTGGTTGCCACGCTCGCATCTCCCCCACCCGCAGCCCGCATTACAAACGCCCCACGATGGGCTCCCCTTCCCCCCGCAGCGCCGTACGCCAACCCGCGCCCCAGCCGCCCGGCCCGGTCCCGCTCACCCCGCGAACTGCCGCAGGCATCGCACGCAGCACAGCGCGGTGGAGCCCGGCCCGCACCGCCCCGCATCTCCGTAGAACGCGGCGCAGGCCCGCGCCTCCCGCTCGGCACCCATGGCGCGGCGCGGCGCGGAGCGGGCGGAGAGGCGGCCCCGGGGCACGCAGCCGCGCCGCAGCGCCCCCTAGCGCCCAGCGGCGGAGCTCCATCCCGCGGCGACGGATCCTGAGCTCAGCGACCTTCAGACTGCAGCCCGTGCCTGCGGGGAGCGGGAGGGGATTTCTACCGTTTCACCCTAGGATTTTCAAACCCTAGAAATTCACTTTTGACAAGCGAGCGGCTAAAGCAGATTAACCTTTTTGCTAATCTTCTATAATGGCTTTGGAATCTCCTTAACCAATAAGGAAATGATAAGAGCCCGTTTCTTTTCTTTTTATCTATATCTGTATTGTCCTTCCTTGTCTGCATTTTTTTTTTTCCTCCTTGTTTTATTTTCCCTTCCTTTTCTAACACGAAATGGCCCAGATCCTATCGCCCACAGCTGCCGTAAACACAACATCGGTAATCCCTTCCTTTATTCCTCTCTGGTAACAGGGGGCAGAGAGGTGTCTGCCGATTGGGATTGATTACAGCAGCTATCAAAAGTCTCCTTTGTAAGATCTGGATCCTAAATCACATAATTCTTTGATAAAAGAAGCATTACCGGTCCATTTTCTGAAGTGAAAGGTACGGGGGAAATGAAAAAAAAAAAGCAATCAGCAGAGGCACTAATAGGCAGGGATGGGCAGGGAGCGGGGAAAGGCCCTTTGTGAAGGATGGGGAATGGGAATTAATCTGCTTCAGCCGTATGATTAGTACAGCTGAGAGCAGAACGGGTCTGATTTGGGGAGCAGGACCTGGCCCCACACTGTACTCATGCCAGGGCTGGGAGATGGGGGCGGGCCAGCAGGCTACAAGGGGCTTTTCCCCTTGTAATTAAATGGTTATAATTTAGCTTACAAATTCAATAGCCAAAAGAGAAGCAAAATAGAGGGATGGATGAAAAACTAGTGACATTTGATGCACAGCAGTTTCACAGCTCTCACTCTCACCACACTGCCCTGCCCATACACACTGAGCAGCACCATTCACCAGGCGGGTTTCCTGCACCTTGCTGCAGACCTTGGCTTGCACAGCTCTAAAACGAAGAGAACTTGGGTTTAAGCAACCTGAGCTCAGCCCTCTCCTGCAAGACTGTGTCCCCAAGCTGCTCATCTTGCTAGGATCAGTGCAAGCACCCATCCCTTCCATGGTGATTCCCAGAGAGTGTTCAGTCCTGGGTACCACGTCCTCTCACACTGTGAGCAGGACACATCCAACATGCCTCCCCACGGGCAGCTGAGAGAGAAGTGCTTGCATGCCACCAAGATGTGCCACTGAATTGTACCACCAAGCCAGGCCACCAACATGCTGTGAGTGGCCATAATCTAATTTAATCTAATTCAAATCTAAGGGATTTGAATCCTTACCAAGAGCATGCTAGATGTAAAGCATCTGTATTACCATTCTGATTATGGCAGTGGAGGTGGGGGAAAGAAGGAGAAAAAATACAATTTCTCCCCTTTCAGCAGAAAATAAGTCAACTTTTGCAGAGAGTTCTGGTGCTGCCAAAGGCTATGCTCTCGTTAAAAAAGACTTTTTATTAAGCTGAGCTCTCTTCTCTCTCATATTGTATGATATGACAGCTCTCTTTTGATGGGAAAGCTTTCATTTGGCCATAGAAAGGGATAATTTGCTTCTTGTAAGGAGTTAATCCTCCACTCCATTTCTGTGCCGGGGATGGCTGTCCTCCCCCTGCCCTGCACTGGAGGCTCCAGCACAATGGAGATCATAACCACCTCAAATCTACACCTGAGATGGAGAAATCAGATTTCCTTCTTGAGTCATTTTTGTGGGATTAGCTAAATCTTAGATCCACACTAACCCTTCACAAAGCCAAGATTAGTTAGAATTTATTTTATTCACAAGGGGGTTTATGGTTTTCTTTCCAAAGGGATTATATATCTCTCTATATATAGGGTGGCTTCAGGCATAAAGCAGCCAGGTTAGAGGGAGGAAAAGTGTGTGTGTATAAAATAAAAACTGCTGCCAGAATGACCGTCATTTGAAACTCTGGGATGACAGAGGGATTCCGGGCAGCCTCACTGCTCTGCTTTCAGGGCTCCTTAATGCTGCAAGACCCTGCAGAGAGCAGACCCTGCTCAGTGTGAGCTTCCACCACCACTGGCCCAGCCAAGGATGTCTGCAGAGCCCACTCTGGATGCCAGCTCAGGCAGAAGAGCTGTGCAGTGCTCGTTCAGCATTGAGAACATCCTCGCCAGCCCAGCAGAGAGGAGCCCCCAGGTTCTGGTTCCACTCTGTCTTCAGGGCATCCTGGACTGTGCACCAAAGGGGCTGTGCGAGCTGGAGGGCATTGCTCTGCAGGAGGAGGAGGAGGAGGAGGAGGAGGAAGAGCTGGAAGGTGCGGCTTGTAGCTGCTGCTGCTGCTCCCACACAGGTACACGGCCTCTGCAGGACCCTCCAGGTTGGCTGGGTGAGTGACTGGGGCTCTGTACCGTGCAGTTTGTTTCCTGGGTGACAGTGCAGTGTCCAACCTGCCACAGTGCTGGGTGCCTTTCTCTGATCTCAGCTCTGGTGAGAAGTTGCTGAGTCTGCTGTTAGAAGGGCTTCTGAGAGCTGGCACCCTCACCAGGGTTTTAAATCAGTGGGTGCTTTTTTGTTACCAAGTATTGCTGGTTTATGGTAAAGCACACAGAGTGGCAGTTCAGGGTAGGAGCTCTGCAGAGAGCATGGGCTCCATGGTCATCCTGACAGAGCTCCTTCGCACCACCCGCTCTTGGGAGCCTCGCTTGTCCTTTCAGGGAAAGGTGGGAGGTTTTTTTGCTACATCTAGCAAAATGGATGCATAGAAAACCTTGATTTGTGGTTCAAAAGCATCCTGGAAGTTCAGAAATACTCCGTGCTATGATGGAAAAACAACTCCTAACCATGCTGTTAAGTTTCCAAGTCATTTTTTGGAGCTTGCCCACAGCATCACAGGTAAGTGAACAAAGAAAACAACACTAGTGCTCCCCACTTACATGCTTCTTTCCAAGTGACACTGAGCCCTTCACCTGCTTGCACTGTGATCATACATCTTTCACCTATGCAAGCTGCACTCCATCCACACAATGAATGCAGATGCAGACAGTGCTCGATGCCAATGTATTTCAGCTGCCCATCCCCACAGAGCTGACTGTCCCTCTCCTTGCAGACCCCAGGTTCCCTTGGCCCATGCGACTGCTCCACTCAGCGGTCAGAGGCTGCAAGAGCCCTCAGGGCAGCCCCAGCGAGCTGCAGGCCTTCCAGCAGATCCAGCGTCGGACGCGCCGTCATCGCACCATATTCACCGAGGAGCAGCTGCAGGCCCTGGAAACACTTTTCCACCAGAACCAATACCCGGACGTCATCACCAGGGAGCACTTGGCCAACCGCATCCACCTGAAGGAGGAGAGGGTGGAGGTGAGGTGCCGGGAGGAGCTTTCTCCCCTCTGCTCACTGTAACTCCAGGAGAACACAAGCTGGGGCATGGTACTGTCTTTCAGGGGAGCTGCAGACCCAGAGTCTGGAGTCTTGTCATAAAAAACCTTGATATTTTGGGTATTTGATAAAATGCAGAGGAGATGTCAGGGGGATTTTTGTCACTGAGAGGGCAGTGAGGCCCAGGCAAAGGCTGCCCAGAGAAACTGTGGATGCCTCATCCCTGTTCAAGGCCAGGCTGGATGGGGCCCTGGGCAACCGGATTTAGTGGTGGCAACTCTGCCTGCAGCTGGTGGGTTGGAACTAGGTGATCTTTGATGTCCCACCAAGCCCAAGTCTTCCTACGATTCTATGACACCCTAGTGCCACTGTGCACAGCCCAAGGGTATTCCTGCCTAACCAACATAACGCAGACGTTCTTTTCTCATTTTACACTCTCCAGGTCTGGTTTAAGAACCGTCGAGCCAAGTGGAGGCATCAGAAGAGAGCATCTGCCTCGGCAATGGTCCTTCAGGGCAGCGCGGAGCCGCCCAAGGGGAGCTGCTAACGGCGCTGCGGGAGGGGAGCAGCGGGGCCGGGCTTCAGGGTGAATGCAGGCGGGGCTCCTCCGAAACCCGACCTCTGTGCTGAGCCCCGTTCAGTGGCGTGGCCTTCAGATGGTGAAGCGGGCACGAAGCCGACAGGCGGTGTGGGGACAGTGCTGTGCTGCACACGTCAGTCCCGGCCGGGCTCCCCGGGCTGTGCTGCTTGTGTCTGTCAGCTCTGCTGTGTGAACACGTGCCAGTGAAGGCTGCTCTCAGCACCCACGGCTTCGAGCGTCGCTTTGGGGCCCCACACGCACACCTACGGAGCTGCCGAGCCCCGCCCGTGCTCCCCAGGCCCCGCCGCGACTCCGCTGCCCCGGCGTCGCCGTCACCAGGGCGCCGCGCCCAGTCCGCTCCTCCCTGCCGCAAGGGGGCGCGCTGACCGCGGCTCCCCGCGCCTCTTCCGGAAGGAGCGCTCCAACTCTCCGCGTCGCGTTGTTGTGACGTCACGTCGCGTCGCGTCTGCGACGGCGGCTGAGGAGGGTCAAGGCGTCATGGCGGCCGTTCCTGCGCCTTCCTCCGGAGCTTTGGTGCCCGTCGCCGCCGAGGCCGGCGCCGTGGTCAGGAGCAGGGAGGCCGTCCGACCGGCCGCCAAGCGTCCGAAGAAGATCCTGGATGAGGATGCCTACATCGAGGTGGGCGGCGGGCCCGGGACGCCCCGCTCTGTGTCACCGCGGCCGCTCGCGGCCCGGCCTGTCCCGAACGGCTGGGGAGCAGCGAGGGGTTCTGACGCGTCCGTGCGATTTTCTGTTTGCAGAGTTTAGAGAATATTATTCAGCGCGATTTCTTTCCCGATGTGGAGAAGTTACGGGCGCAAAAGGAGTATCTGGAAGCTGAGGAAAATGGTGACTTGGAGAAAATGAGGCAAATCGCTATTAAATTTGGCTCCTCCTTGGGCAAATCATCGCGGGACACACCTGTGCCATGTAAGAACCGACACACCGTGGCTGTTTTAATGTTTAAGTTGATATTATAGATGATTTCTATGAAAAAAAACAAAACAAAACAAGAAAATGACATTATGTTTGTCATTTTGTATACCGTGGGCTACGCATAGGGAGAAATGGTCTTCAGCTTTTTTATTTATTTGTTTGTTTGTTTTTTAAGGTAAAAAGCTTTGTATTTAATGTTATCACTCTTATCTAATGTCATACCAACAGATTTACATTGTGTGGGCATTAGTATGGCAGACTGGGCAGTAGTCAGTATCTGATGACTGATGTAATATTTCTCTTTGATAGTGTCCAGTCATTCCTTCCGGAGAGAAAAAAGCAGTGTGGTAACCATGCCTCAGACATATTTTGTCAAGCTCCTGTTTATTAGCAAAGATCACATGCTTACCTTGCAACTTCATACTATCAGAAGCTTTAGGCTATGTTCTAAATCATCATTACAGTTTTTGGGGTGGAAGGCAGGGAAAGCTCATGACAGTCCAAGGTTAATGCAGCAAGCATTAGATGCTCAGTTATGTGTTTGTTTTCACTTCAAGTTTGGGTATTTTTTATGCTGAAGGCCCGTGCCTCACTGAGCTCTTGCTGGGCAGTTTAGCTAAGCAGCTTTCTCATGGCAAAAGGACACATGTCATACGGTGAATTCCTTTCCTCCCCTCCTGTGGGTGCCACACTGAGCTGTGTTAAGGTTGTTAAGCTCACATTGCTGCAGCAAATATGTACAGCTGTGGCTCTCCTGTGAATTTTTCTCCGCATGAAAATGTCTTAGACGAGAGATGTTGTTTGTTGATGGGAACCATATTGAAAAGAATGTTTTATAGTCTTTTTACAACTTTTTAATGAAATTGTTCATCTTGTGATTTGTCTTCTGTGATTCATGTTTGGTACCTAACCTGTACTGTGATGCAGAATGTCATGGCAATTGTTCAGTTCTGTGCTCTGGTAACCATGCAAACCTTTTTCCTTTTGTCACAGATGTTACTCCAGCCACGTTTGAAACCCCAGAAGTGCATCCAGGTGGTCTCCCTCTGGGAAATAAATCCAGAGCTGGCACCCGAGCTGCAGAAGAAGGTAGGAGAATAATGTTTCTGTCACTAAATTCCTCAGCAGCAAGAAAATATGCTTGTGAACTCTGTCCCCTGGTGAAGGTTAAACATTAACCAATGTTTAAGCAGTTTCTTTTAACCTTCTAGTAAATGAAAATAATCAATCTGAAATTGTGTGAATTTTCATTATAGATCTCTTTAAGGCAGTATAAGTTCCTAATGCATTGAATTTTTTTGAAAACAGTAAATTTTTCCTGTGTCACCTGAAATTAGGGTCAGTAAGCAAAGATAGCAGAGGCATAGATATTTATATGGCATGTTAAAAACGTCTGCTAACATCTGGGCACTTGTGTGTTTTCCCTTTAACACAAATAACTATAAATGTAATGAAAGCATTTATTTGAAAGTTGGTTGTGTTTTCTAAAAAAATTACTGTTGTACCATTCTGCGTGTATACATGTCTTTTTTTTTTTTCCCCACTAACTTTAATTATTAGTGGGTCAATAGAAGGCTAGCTCACAGAAGGAACTAAGACTTGTGTCTCTTACAGAAAGGGAGGTATTAACCTTTGTCAAACTTCTTCCCTCTTCTTGTTAGGAGAAGCAGAAAAAGATGATAAAGATGCTCTTCCCAATCTGGACAGTTTCTTAGCAAAACACACGAGTGAAGATAATGCTTCATTTGAGCAGATCATGGAAGTGGCCAAAGAGAAGGAGAAAGTCAAGCATGCTTGGCTGTACAGTGCGGAAGAGGAGTATGCCCAGGTAGGGAAACGGCTCAAGTGTCTCTTTGCACTTCCAAAATGACACAAGAGGGAAATGCCCTTTTACTGTATTTATTTCCTATTTAATTAAATGGTATATTTTCTTACCATCTGTCTTCAGACTCTGCCAAATGCTTCCGTGTCTGTATTCTTATGGAAAAGTTTGAAAATCCTCTGATTAATAGTATAGAAAAAGCTCCTGCTCTTTTCTTGCTGCTTGTATCAGCTAATACGTTTTCTGTGAGGCTAGAATGGTAGAAAGATTCTTTCAAGGATACTCACTTTAGTCGTGAAGACTGCCTTAGTTTGAGATAAGTGGCAGATCTTGCTATTCTTTTTTTTTGGTGATGAAGCATTCAGTTTAATTTTGATTAGTAGATGGAGAAAAGCAAAAACTATTTGGATCATCATTAGTGTTGTCACAAGGTGTAACAATGTGATGTACATAATCTTTGTGAGAAATTAAGTCTATAGTGCTCACTTGATTTTATACAAGAGCTCATACAGGGTTTTGTAAGCTCACCTATGGGCACAGGATAGTTTCTCAAGTGCCAGTTGCCAGAGGGAGGTGCTAAGTACATTAGGACTTGTAGCTGAGCTGGTGATTCAGCTCTTCCAAGAGGTGTATGCTTGATGAAAAGATTGCAGGAGTATGTTTTCAGTCCTAATTTTTTTTTTTTTCTCTTGTCCTTTCAGAGACGAAATGAAAACCTGGCACTTCCTTCAGCAGAGCAGCAAGCTCTGGAGAATGTGAAAGCTGGGCTGGAGACCTGGGAGTACACTGCTAGAAACACCCTCATGTATTATCCAACAGGTGAGGCATGCAAGTCTCAGGAGAACGATCTGTCTAGGTGGGTTGACTCCAGACAGTGCTTATCCCCCTTCTGACAGAAGAGCTCTTACTGGTGCTACTGCACTGTTTCTTCTGTGTAGCTCAGAGATGTGCAGCTGTTAGAGTCTTCTCCACCCATCCTGCACCATTCTTGAGATCTTGCTTCATTGCCTCTGATTGCAAAGCTGGATCGTGTTCTGTCACTGAACGTGATCACTAACTATATTACACAAGCATTGTTTTTAGGAGCCATAAATATTTCTGGTTTGTTTCACCTTATTCATAAGCACTTGTTATTTTCAGTCATTTATTGCTTCTGCTCAAAGAGCGCTGCTTTGGTTTCTTGGTCACTTGGTTGCTATAGAAAACTATATCATGTTGTAGCTGAGCCTTTTCACAGAGACTTTCTACATTTCAAGGTGTACCTGATGAGGAGGACACATTTAAGAAGCCCAGGGAAGTTGTCCATCGGAACACTCGTTTTGTGAAAGATCCATTTAGCCAAGCTGTGAGCAAATCACAGCTCCAGCAAGCTGCAGCCCTCAATGCTCAGGTTGGATAATTTTGTTGCTTCTGATCAAAAGCCTTTAAAACAACATAATTGTTGATGACATGTGTATTCTGGATACAAATGGCTGGCATCTTTCTCTAGAAGTTGATGAATGACGTTGTCTTTTATTATTTCAGTACAAACAGGGGAAAGTAGGACCAGATGGGAAAGAGCTGATACCCCAGGAGTCTCCAAAAGTAAATGGATATGGATTTGTGACTACTCCCTCTCCTGCCCCTGGTAAGAGGTTTCTTTATTGTTGTTTTCCTCTTTTCATCTGAATCTGCTTGTGTGTTACAGTTTCATTTTGTTCAGATGTACTAGCTTCAGGATGCTTTCAGTTAGAACACTCTGATTATTTTTCTTCTAGTTCAGATGTGGTGTCTGAATTCGTAGCTGTTCCTCACCAGCATGGTTTTCCCTGTCTTTTTTTTATCACTCTTAAAATGTGAACATAATGAGGCTTTTCCTCTGAGAAGCCATTAGGTGGCATATGGAATGCACCTCTCTTCTTCAGTGAAAATGCTTTTTCCAAACATTGGACAGCCAGATTTCCTAGCCAGTGACTTAATCTTAGAATCTATTCTGTAGCTGTAGCTGTTAGGCAAGGTGTAGTCATTGTTTGACACAGACATTTGGTTATTCCATGTCTTAAATCTTCTATCATTTCCTTGATTTTTAAATAGTTTCACGTATAGAAGGAATTTTCATACAGTATCAAAGGGAAAGACTGGTACTGTGGAATTAGAAAATGAAAGTTTTGCTGAGCAAAAGCATACCAAATGGAAAAATATACACATGGAAAGATCAGGTTGGGCTTTGTAAGCTGGAGGGTGGCACAGCCACGAGCAGTACCTGGTGTTTAAGGGCATGTCTTTGTAATGGGAATGACATGTTACTTTTCAACATGGGCTGTAGAAGGGCTCAGTTGTGTCTTGAGTTTGCTACATTTCATAGTATGGTTCTCTGTGGGTGGGTTTTGTGTTGTGTTTTTTTTTGCTGACTAAATAGTTAAATACCTTGCACGAGTATGACTTTTTAAATTTGTTTTCAGGTGTGAATGAGTCTCCTTTTATGACATGGGGTGAAATAGAAACCACCCCTCTACGTCTAGATGGATCAGAAACACCATATGTGGATCGCACCCCTGGACCAGCCTTCAAGGTATTTCATAGGAGGCAACGTGTCATTCTTTGGGGGTGAGGGGGCATGGACTAAGAAGAGAAAGACAAGTGAGTAACTAATAGATTAACATTGTTGTGGGATGTGTGACACATCTCTGGGCTGCGTTCCCAGTCCTTGAGACTAATAATCTATGTTCTGCTTGGAGGGTGGAGATGGACATGGCTCCACATGAAAGCTACTTTGTGCAGATATCTGAGGTGCAATATACAGCTGGCGACAGTGAGACTTGAAGTTTGATGATAGGCCTAGACAAAGGGGCTTTTGGAGAAAGCTGAAGTGATGCCTGGTTTCCCTGATTTTAATGTAGGAATGGGTAGAAATCATAATATTTCCCAAGCCTGAGGTTGAAAAGGTACTCTTTGTTAATGGCACTTGATCCTGTGTGCAACCTGTAATTTTCTGTGTGTGCCTCTGTTTTGTCAGACTTCGAAGTTGTTGTCTGGTTTTCCTGCTGTTTAGCAATGCTTTTGTTTGCCTGAGAGCTGGCTGGCCATGGGCCAGGCTAGGCAAGACACAGGTGACATTGTTTGTCTATGAGAGACAGCAGGAGGAAATGCCAGATGTAATGGCTGCTTCCTTGACTGAACTGGTTCTACCATATGTGTTACTTGCAAAGGCAAGTTGAAAATCTCTCTATGTCCTCTCTTGCTTTTATGTAGCAGAAGAGTAGAGTGGGCTGATCCCACTCCTCCCCGGTTTAGATTGTTGTCAGCTGCAATCCAACCATGGAAGTGCTTTGTTTCATTTATACAGCGCTCATACCTACTGCCTTGACAAGTAAAGTGTGTGATGTATTTATAGATCCTGGAGCCTGGACGTCGTGAGAGGTTAGGACTCAAGATGGCCAATGAAGTGGCAGCTAAAAATCGAGCGAAGAAGCAGGAGGCACTTCGAAAAGTCACAGAAAACTTGGCCAGGTGAGACTTCTGTTGTGATGGAGGAATTGGGGATGGGTATTTTCTGATGAGGTTTAAATCAATATATGCAGAAAGGGAGGAATGAGGAAAGTGCTGGAACATTTTTAGGCGTCAAAGAACATGCTTACCAAGGGAAGGTGGATGATGGTTGTTCCTGGTACTCCCTCTTGTGAGCATTACTGTTCTGCCCTGTGCTACCCAGGTAGTGCATCTGAATCAATGTCTTGCTTCACTGCAAGTAGATGAGACCTGATGCAACACGTTTAGCTGGGTCACAGGAAGGACAGTACAGGCTCAAAGGAAATAAGCAGGCAGTGCAGTTTATGTTAAGGAGGGATGTTAGATGTTTCTCTGTTGCTTCTCTCTCTAGAAGATCAGGCTGCATTTACTTGCAGGCAAAAGGACTTCTGCCAATGGATCTGGTCAGTGGAGGAAGCAGACACCAAGTTCTCCCATGGAAGCATTGATAGTATTCCTGATAAAAAATTTTACTATAAGGTCTTTAAAACTGTCTTTTCTATTCCAGCCTCACTCCAAAAGGATTAAGCCCAGCAATGTCACCAGCTTTGCAACGACTAGTAAACAGGACTGCAAGTAAATACACCGACAAAGCCCTGCGAGCCAGCTATACTCCTTCTCCAGCCCACACAGGAACTCCTGGTTACAAGACACCAGCAAATGGGCCCCAAACACCCACAACCACCCCACAGTCTAGGACAGTATCTCAAACACCAGTATCTCAAGATACTACATCAATCACAGACAATTTACTACAGCTTCCTAAAAGAAGGAAGGCATCTGATTTCTTCTAAATATTCTTGTCATCAGCAAGGCAATAGTGAACAGCCCATGCTCAGCTGTCTGCAACGTGGATGTTTTGAACCACCAGTAGTAAGAGGTATCTAGATTCAGCTGCCGGAGTGGAAGCCAGCCGTTTTTAAATCTGGGACCAGATCTAGACTATGTAGCTGAAATAGCTTGTGATGTGCTTTATGGAAGACAAGTGTCTCTTGCTGTGGTATATAACTTCCCTTTGAACTGCATGGATGTGTTACACAGGACTGCTGTATCATAAGGATGCTTCCTGCAATGGCAAAGAAGAATCTGGACTCCTAGCTAAAACAGTGATAATTTTTTAAATCTCTCTTTTTTTTCAGATGGCTGTGCATTTGAATACATTTCTATACAAATATGTCTATTTATAAAATATGTTAAGCCTTCCTAAAAGGTTGAACTGGATTTTACTCTTGCTTGTCAAACATTTTTGTTCTCGTGCTTTGCAGAAGAGAGGATATCAAAGAGTCACAGAATTGTAGGGGTTAGAAGGGAGATCATACAGTACAACACCCTGGATAAAGCAGTTTCCCTACAGTAGATTGCACAGGGACATGTCCTGGTGAGACTTGAGTATCTCTAGAGAGGGAGTCTCCACCACCTCCCTGTGCAGACTGTTCTAGTGCTGTCACTGACAGTGAAGAAATTCTTCCCCTCTCAGCCTTCTCATCTCCAGACCGAAGAGTCTCAGGTCACTTAGCCTTTTCTCGTGCAGGAGATGCTCCAGACCCTTAACCCTTATATATATGAGATGTCACTCATAGTGGTAAGGGGCATCTCTTTAATGCAAGTGGATTTTAAACTGGTGCTTCCCAGTGTATGGTGGACTTGTCAAAAGAAATATTATGTTGTGAAAAAAGAATGCATCCAGTTCCAGACATCAATTCACACTTCCTAATAACCTGCAATCTTACTTATTGTGTTCTGCAGCTGGTATAACAGAAGCTTGAATGTGAACAGCACTGTGACTTAAAAGAAAGCTTTCCTTTGTGCTTTTCACCGTAACTCTTGGTTCTTGCAAACCATATCAGAGATGGTTGTTCATTCAGCTCAGCAGATGAACTTTGTAAAGCAAAAGATGACTATTTCTGAAAGGGCTTGGAATAGTTGAAGTTGAAAGCCAGCAGTTCACAAGCTGGACCAATTTTTAATAGAATCTCATTTCCTTCACCCCACCTTTCCATCCTGCAGAAGGAAGTTTTGGCTTGCTGATCATGCTCAGGCTTTTCCTCTGCAGATTTTGGGAACACTCACCCTCTTGTGCAGTGGGGGTAGGGATTTTGGATTTTGGAGTCTGGAACCACAGGTCTCTCAAAACTTCATTTACAGACAACCTCTGAGATGTGTCAAGCTGAAGCAAGTTGAAAATAATGTCCTCACACTCTTTAGTCAGGTATTTTGATGCATGGAAGTCAGTCTTGTATTATTTCTGAGTACACATAATTTTTCTGACATTAGAATCACTAAAGGGCATTAATGCATAGACCACTGTATACAGAGTGACACCCAGGCTCCAGATGTCAGAAATCCCGGGGTGACAAGGAATGTCCTGCAGCACTTCAGGGGCTGCATATGCCCACAGAAGGTTTTGCTGAGAATAGATCTTCCCTTTTCACCTGAGACAAATGTTTGGAAAAGTCAAGTCTGACATCTTGACGTTTAAATGTTCATTGGGAAGGATATTCCCAGATTTCAGGTCTCTGTTAGCTACGTCTAAGTCATGGCAGTGCTTGATGGCAGAAGCCAACTGCTGGAACTTAAAATGAGCGAAGTTCTCTTTCACAGCTTCTGTCATCTTGACATGGCCCGGGAGGTCTCCCTTTACCCCCAGCTCCATAAAGATGTACAATTTCCCTCCTGATATCTCAAAGATCTCAGAGGTTTTGATGATTGATGGGTGGTGCAAACGTTCCATCTGTTTCCCTAGGGAGAAATCAGTCCAGGAAGTCCTGAGGCATTCTGTTGTCAGTTATCTTTATAGCCACATTGCTTTATAGCCTGTTGCAGCAGGCTAATTTCACTGCCATAGGAGACTTCTCCTACTGTGGTGCTCAGGTTGAAACCTTTCTTTCAGTGTTATTTTAAGGATGTCTTCCTCTTCAGTCTTTGGTTTACCAGTTTTAGATTATTTTTTTTTTCCCCATAAGCTAAAATGGAGAAGGAATCATTCATAATGATGGTCACAAGAAAGCCCCTCCTGAAGGCATTAAACTACTGCTAAATTTTCTTAAGCAACTGAATTTGAGGGACATAGTTTAGTGGAGGTGAGGGGTTGATGTGGACTAAAATTAGTAGTTCCAACCTTAATGACTCTATGAATTTCTACTGCTGAAGGTTTCCTGCCGTACCCAATAGATGGAAGTCTAGTCTTAGCTCTTCTTGCTGGTTGTCATGAGTTTTCAAAATATTTGTTGGTAGGTTAATTTTTTCTGAATGCTTTCACAGAATGGACCAATGCTCTATTTATGCTGCTTGGTTTTATATTCAAGCACAACAATGTATCTGAGATTGTTATTGCAGTAGAGCGTTTTGAAACCTTTCTGAAGTTGTTTAATTGTTCATGTTTGTATCTCAGGAGGCACACAGGGTTAAGTACTACATGAAGGAGCTCCTAAAGGTGCTGGGGAGCAACGGATGCTGGTTTTATTTGTTTGTTTTGTTTTCACAGTGGCTGCATTCAAGAACTGTTTGTTTCTATTTGCTTGGTGCTTTCCCTTAACTTTCTTGGTTTTCTTTCAGCCCCTCTGTTTCGTAGCTCTGATGATTGGCTGTTTCCTGTGGGTTTGGCAGCTGTTATTTTCTTAAACCCTTACTCATCGAGTAAGTTGCATTTTGACTTCCAGCTTCTGCTGTACTTGAGAGAAGCTCACAACATCACTTCTTTGGAACTGATGGGAGGATGGTGGTTTGTTTGCTGATTGCTTCACTGTTATCGGCCTCTGGGGCTTTTTGCTTTATGTTGGTTTCTGCTTTTTCAAATGTAATTTTTCAACTCCCAAGTGTATGACTTCAAAGCCTTAATGATGAGAACAGCGCAGGGGCTGGGGACAATCCTGCACAGCCCACCAATGTCATTCAGACAAATATTCAGACTGCCAGACTGGGACTTTTGATTATTATTCCCCCCTCTTTCTTTGAAACTTTTAGCTATTTTTTATAATTAGTCAGAAAGACAAAGAACAGTTTTAACCGTTCCGAGCTGCGGTTGTTGCAGTACAAGCTGACCTCTGGGTGCAAGCTGAGCCCTGCTGGCAGGAAGGCACAGGCAGCTGAGTACACTGCTTGCACCACGCCTGGGCACGGGGCAGCCTGAGGAACACTGGGCAGCCTGTGTAACACTTGGCAGTCCGGAGCTTTGCTATAATCGCATGACGTTCTCCGCAGGGAATATCCATGGAAATATTTATGCAGCTCTTTGAGCAGTGCCTGCGGATTTCTGTAAGGCTGAGGGTGTTTGGTGCTGTGTTTGCCTTGGTGGAGAGCTTCCTCCTGTGCGGTTTCCAGTGCCACTTCCACAGCACCTGTCCCTGGCCGTGACCTTTCCAAGTGACTTTTATAGCACAACTTGTGAGAATAAATTGAGTGATACGGCGTCGCTGGGGTTTGTGAGTGCATGAAACGAACAGGTTTTGCTTTTTTTAGTCTGGAAGTAACCAAGGGCTCAGTTTTTTTTCTTCAGGCAAAAGGAAGAAACAACCAACCTATTCTCAGATGCTGATGGATGAATATAAAGAACATCTATTTACTGATGTGTCCGTGTTTTCAGTGATATTCCTTAAGGACCAACCTGGGTAAACAGCTCTGAAGCTTTTAAGTAAAATGTTTATTTCACAACGTTCCCACAATCTGCCTGTCCTCATGAAGGGCTCACATCTGTGCGAGTGCTAGGGTGTGCTGAAGGCTCTGCTCTGCGTTGCTCTGCCTGCAGCCACATCCCTGCTGCAGTATGTGTTAATGTTAATTATTAATCCCTGAAGTTCCTGCTTCATTCAGTGCAAGTCAATGCGACCATTGGTTGCCTCTACTCAGAGGCCCTGTTTGATGGGTGATGCGCATACAGGAGCATTTCAATGCTCAGCCTTCCTGGCTGGATGCATCGTGGAATTTCTGAGGAGCTGTGCTTGTACCAGGACGTGGCTGGCTCATGGAACAGCACAGATAGAGCTGTGTCTGAGAATTACTGGTTCGGTGTTGTGCAATCCGTGCTTAAAAGCCAATTGCATAAACTACCTTGAGGCACAGGACGGTGCTGATCCTGTGTCTTCCCTCGAGTGAGTTAACCTGAAGTCAGAAGCCTTGGTTCTGATGGATTGAAGGGCGTTTGTCAGAGCTGTAATTTATTTCCAGGGAAATGCTCTAAAGCTGGCTGTGGGAAGGGCTTTGCAGCCAGGCCGTTCCTGCAGCGCTGCTTTGATGTCAGGGCTCTGCTTCCTGCAGTCGTGCACCCTTGCTGTCTGTAATGGAGCTGCCAGAGCTCTTCGCCAAAATAGCACCTTAGACGGCCAAACCCAACGCGAAAACCCACCTGGACTGTAGCGGGCTTTGATTTATTTGCTCTCAGCGTTACTTTCCTTTGGCTGTGCTGGGGCAGGAGCAGCTCAGGAAGGGGGAGGAAGGGTCGGGTGCAGTTAGAGAAAGGGGCAGCGGGAGCGGGGTGCGGGGTGCGGGGCTGGGAGGGAGGGGGCAAAGGCCGAGCCGAGCCGTGGCTGGAGCGGCGGCAGCGGGGGTCGGGGGGGCACTGACAGCCGTTTATTGGTGACCTTGGAACCGCCGCCTACGAGCGAAAAACATCGAGTTGCGTGTTTTAATTAAATCTCAGCTTTCGATTTCAGCACCGTTTTCAAAAATATTAAGAAAAAACCACAGCACCTAGGAGCAGAGCCCCATCCATCCTTACGGACACCCCCAGCGCAGCCTCCGCCCGCTCGAGGCCCCGACGGCGCGCCCCGCAGCCTCCGACCCCGGGGGCGGGGCTTAACCGGAGGGGGTGCGTCAGGCCCCGCCCACCGCGCCGCCGATTGGTCGAGAGCCGCGCCGGAGGGAGGGGGGCGTGGCGGCGCGGGGGAAGGCGGCGGGGAGGCGCGGCCGCCATCTTGTGCGTCGCCGGAGCCAGGCTAGCGGCCCGCAGCGTGGCGCCGCCCGACCCCCGCGCTGCCCCCGCGCCCGCAGCCGCCGCCGCAGCCAGGGCCGCTGGCTCCCGCCCGGGGGCGGCGGCGGACGGGGCGGGGAAGAGTTCGGTGCGGACGGGATCGGCCGGCGGCTGTCCCTCCGCCTCCTCCTCCTCCTCCCGCCGAGCGTCGCCCCGCGCTTCGCTCCCCGCGGGTTTGTGGCGCTGCGCCGGGGGAGGATGAACGGAGGATAAATGGTGCCCAAAG